TTTTTTTTTTTTTTTTTTTTTTTTTTGGTTTCTGCTTCTATCTCTTCCTGTTTTCTGAGGGTAGCTACTGTCACATTCAGTAATATATAGAAAATAATTTACTTCCCTTTTCTGAGCCAGACCAAGTTTCATCTCTGCTTGAGTCACCTCCAGGTTTCTCAAAATGGGGCTTTTCTCAGTTAAACTCGGAGGTGACTCAAAGGCCAAGCGCTGGGAGGCCCTCCTCTTTTATTTCATTTTCTGAAGCACACGGAACATCTTTCTGTGCTCTGGGATGCTGCCTGCAGAGGAGAAACTGGTGGAGGACACCAGGGTGCCGTCCTGGTGCTGAGTATGGGGAGGGGAGCCCGAGCTCAGCTGTCCTCTGCTGGACCAGCAGTGCTCCTTTTCAGGTCTGTGGATGTCATCTCAAGACCAGGCTGGGCCACTGGGGTTTGAAGCAGTGTATCTCTGGCTGAAAATACTCCACTCTTCATAAAGGTATGTAAATTCTCCACGACATCAGCACGTAGGAGATGCTAGGTTTTTTTAACCAACAAACTTTTCTACCCTGTGTTCTTAATGATATATTTGTCTTCAGCACGCAGTTAAAAAGAAAAACTGCATAAAACTGGGTCTGACCCAGTTCAGTAATTCCCTTGTGTGCTCACTACCACTGTTGCATTTGTCAAAATATTTACTGCAATTCATGATGGCTGTCAGAAGCTAGACCCACAATCCATGTTCTACTAAACGTAAAAATATTTAGAGGGAAATTTAGTGCCTGACAAACTGTTTTTTTTCCCAGTGTTGGATCTAATTAAACTGAAGGTGTGAATTGGTTAGAAATATACATTAAATTTGCCCAACAGTTGTAAGTACACACAGACACACACACACACACACACACACACACACACACACACACACACAGAGTATAATCTAAGTATCACAGTTTTCAGTAGAGGTACCATTTATAGCAATTCTACTGATCAACCACCCAAGGGTAGCATTTTTCAGCGAAATTTACAGAGGCCAATGAACTCTGTATTTATATACATATTTGGCTTCCCAGTCTCCAAAATAGCTAAGAGCTAGAAGGAATCTTAGATAAGCCATGGAAGCCAAGTTCTCAGAGGTAGCATGCCTCTCCTTTCCCGTAGCAAATCTTTCTATAAGAGTGAAACCAGAGATGTTATCTGCTGAAATGTAGCAAGGGACAGGATGCAACTTTAAAAAAATGATATCATTAGCCAACAGGGAGAAGCAGAATGAACGTCAGGGCTAGTTTAAAATACTGTGCCTTTTAACCATCTTAACTCTGTTACACCCACCAGGAGCCCGTATTTAGCGTCGCAGGCTAATTTTAATCAGAGTGAACCTTTAGGTTCTGTGGCAATCCTAGGTTCTGCAAAGAGATCCCCAGAAGCTAGGGCATGAAGATTTATTTTCTTAGTGACACTCAGCTGGGAAACCAAGGAAAGGTCAGTCCTGAAGGAGGAGCTCCATGTGAGCAGGGTTACCCAAACCGACCTAAATGACCACGGAGCAGCTGCCTAGGGAAATGAACTCACGGCCAGGGGCCAGAGGTGACCAGCCAGAGAGACCTGGCTGGGGACACAGACATAATGTGCGCAGAGAACTGAGACTGCAAAAGCACGTGCGAGGCCTCTGTGATGGGGTGTGGGGGGACACACAGGGCATTCCTCCCTGTGTGGACAGTCACAGCTGCTGGGTTGTCCAATCCTCCGAACAGAGGAACAAGCCCACTTGCAAGATAAGAAGTGGCAGGGGGAGTTGAAGTGACTTGTTCAGGGCCACAGGGCTTTGTAGGCAGCCAAGGTACAAAGACAGGTCTTGTCTCTGAGGTCGGGGGATCTGCTACCCATGGTGACCTTGGGAGCGGGGCAGCAGAGGGCCAAGCCATGCTGGGAAGTTGCACTGGGTGGTTTCCGCAGTGCTGGCTTGGGCACAGGTGGGAGAGCTCACCTTGGCTGTGTCTGGCCACCCAGTGTGATATCCTTATGCGTCTCCATGGTTTTCCGTGTTATTTCTGTGGGATTACCTACATTCACAGCCACAGCAAGCTTTCCTATGGGTGCTAGCAGTGCAGATTCCCTCGGAATAGAAGGGCACATAAAGAAGGAACAATGAGGTGTCAGAAAGAAAATTATGTTGAGGGGAACAGTCTCTGCAGCAGTAAGCAGGTGGGTTCACAGCTCTGAGCATTATGGGCGCACTATAGAGGCGGCAACAAATAGCAGGAACTCCCATGGGGAATGTTGTTTCAGTTCATTCTGTGTGTTTATTTTTACCCTAATAAATCAGGCTGTTTGTTTTGGGATAATGGTTGGCTCATGTGCAGTTGTAAGAAATAATACAGAGAATGCCCATGTGCCTTTCTCCCAGCTTTCCTCCATGGGAACATCTTACCAATCACAGTTGGACACTGGCAATGACAGAGACAAAGTAGAGAACATTTGCATCACTTTGAGGACGCACATGCCCAAGGTGATGCCTGCCTTCTCTCCTCTTCTGTACCTTCCTCCTCTGTTCCGGCCACCGCAGATGTAGTCTCCAGCTCTAAACCTTGTCGTTTCAAGAGGGTTGTAAAAAAGGCAATCATTCAGTACCTATGCTTTGGGAATTAGCACTTTCATTCAGCATATTTCTTTGGAGATTCATCTGAATCTCTATTTCTTATGTCAATAGTTTGTTCCTTTTTATTGCTGAGAAGTACCCTAAGATATGAGTGCACCCCAGTTGGTTTAGACGTTCATCTGATGAAGGACATTTGGGTTGAATCTCATTTTTTGGCTACTACCAAGAAAGCTGTTGTGAACATTCACACTCGGTGTTTTGCATGGATAGGTTTTCTTTGTTCTGGGGTAAATGCCCAGGAGCACCCCTCCTAGGTTGAATGGCAGTTGCATGGTTAACCTTTTTTAGTTAGTACTAGAAATTAAACCCAGGGCCTTCACACTGAGCTGCATTGCAGCCCTCTCTCATTTTTTATTTTGAAACAGGATCTCATCAACTCACTAAGTTGCCCACACTGGGCTTGAACTTGCAATCCTCCTGCCTCAGCCTCCCAAAGTGCTGGGACTATAGGTGTGCACCACCACCTGGCATCATGCTTAACTTTTTAAAAGCCACCACCATACTCTTTTCTGGAGTGGCTGGATTGCTTCATTTTGTGTCAGCAGTGTGTCCCGTTTCTCCACATCCTCACTGACGTGTGATGTTTCACTACTTTTTATGTCTTCCATTCTAGGTAGGAGGGCAGTGTCATATCACTGCGGTTCTAATTTGCATTTCCTTGGTAGCTAAAGATGTGGGACAGCTTTTCATGGGCTATTTTCCTTCAGCATAGCTTCTGTAGTGATATGTCTCTTTCATCATTTGCTTATTTCCTAACTGGATTGTTGAGGGTTTTTTGTTTGTTTGTTTTGTTTTTACTGTTTTGTTTCTGAACTTTTTTTTAAAATTCTAGGTAGGAGTCCTCTGGCAGATATATTATTTACAAATACTTTCTCCAAGTCTATAGCAATGGCCATTCCTCAGCTATCCCAAGGTCTTGACACACTGCACTGCCTGTGTGTGTGTTTGTGTGTGTGACTGGACTGAACTCAGGACTTTTGCACTGACCTACCCATTCCCAGCCCCATTTCTATTTTTTATTATGAGACAATGCCTTGTTAACTCACTTTTGCCCAAGCTGAGCTTGATCTTTTGATCCTCCTGGCTCAGCCACACACACACACACACACACACACACACACACACACACACACACACACACATCGACAGTGTTTTGGTAGTAGTATTATTCTCTTCTATTGATCTATGTGTCTATACCTCTGACAGTACACTCTTGGTTACTACAGCTGTATAATACGTTTTCAAATCAGGTGGAGGAATCTTTCTACTTTATTATCTTTCTTCTATATTGTTAAATTATTCTAAAGCATTTTCTATATAAACTTTAGAGTTAGAAAATCTTACTAAGATTTGGACAGGAATTGCTCTAAGTCTGTGTATCAGTTTGGGAAAAATTGAGATTTTTACCATGTCCAGTGGTCCAATCCATGAACACAATGTATCTTGTCATTATTTATATAGACTTTGGATTCTTTCACTTGAGTTTTGTAGATTTCATCCCAAGACCTATACATATTTTGTTAGATTTATACCTGATTATTTTAATTTTTGTGTACATATAAGTGGCACTGTATTTTAAATTTTAGTTTTCAGTTACTTGCTTGTATATTGAAATAAAATTGATTCTCATACGTTGAACTTGTGTCCTATTGAACTCACTTCTTCGTTCCAGAAGGTAGTTTAGAAAGTGGATTCCTTAGGATTTTCTGTATGGACAGTCACGTTATCTGAAAATAAGCAGAATTTTATTTCTTTGTCTCTGTATGTCTTTCCTTTCCCTGTACCTTATATTTCTTTCTCACTTTACTGCACTGGATAGAGCACCTGTTATCTTTTGATAACAGCAGTGAGAATGAACACCCTAAAGTACCCTTCTCCGGGAAAAGGTGTTTAGATTTTTACCGCCAGTGTTGTTATTTTGTAGGTATAAGATTTCTATTTCTATTTTTTTCTGAAAGATATTTTTCATGAATAGGTATTGAATTTTGTCAAAAGCTTTTTTGCCATCAATTGGTATGTAACAGTGTGATTTTTTTTTCCTCTTTACTGTGTTAATGTGGTAGATTGCAATGAACACATCCTTGGAGCTCTTGGTCACACTTTGCAATTCTTTTCATGCCGTAGAATTCTATTGCTAATATTTTGCAAAAGGTTCTACATCTCTATTCATGAGGGATATCGGTCAGTAGTTGCCATTTTTTTCATACTGAAGAGTATCACTGTAATGCCTATGTTCATAACATTAATTGAAAAGTGTGCCCTCCTTTTTTATGTTCTGGAAAAAGGCTGTATAGAAGGGGTGTTAATTTTTCTTTAAAAGTTAGATAGAATTCTCCGCACCAGGGCCTGGAGATTTCTAGGTGGGAGTTTTAAACATCACAAATTCAATCTGATAGTAGGTAGAATGCTAGTCATTCATATTATCTATTTCCGATTAGGTGGACTGAGATAGTTTGTGCCTTTTGAAGAATGAGCCCATTTCATCCAAGCGATCGAATGTGTGTGAGTGTCGTCATTGTCTTATGAGCTTTGCGTGTCTGCAGGGTCCTTAGTGATAACCACAGGTTCATTCTTGTTATTGACAGATTGTGTCTTTTCTAATTTTGTCTTTGTCAGTCTTTGAAGAGATTCTAAATCAATTTTATAGTCTCGTCTAAGAAGAAATTTTCTCTTTCATTGATTTTTCTCTACTATTTCTGTTTCTATTTTATTGACTTCTCTCATTTATTATTTCCTTCCCTCTGCTTGCTTTGCGTTTATTATGTTTTTCTTTTACCAGGTTGAGGTAGGAGTTTAGGGCTTCGACTTGAAACTCTTCCATTTCTAATGTAAGCACTTAG